ACACTCTAGCTAGCTATTTTCTTTCTTTCTGTCTGGTAAATGTTCTGTGTAAGAGTCAGAGGTCATTGGTTAGCATGCAGGTCCACCCGTTTCTCCTTTCCACACCTCCTGTCCTCCTCCCCGTCCCGCTCTCACCTCGTGAGACCGTCCACCCCTCTGTCCCTCTAATGCTTTGAAGATGCTCAGGCCAGTAAATACACCTCACCGTCTCTCAGAGACTTTCCTCAGTCTAACTCCAACCTTCAGTCACCGCTCATGCAGAGCGAGGGAGATGTCATTGAGTTTAAGCTTGTGCAAGAGCTTTGCTGAGGTGTTTGGTATAAATACAGAACCTCTGAACTCTATTAAACACACTTTAACAACAGCTGATGAACCACGCTGTTCAAATGTTGCGAAAGAAATTAATACTTCTATTCAGCAAGGAAGCAAATTCAGTAAACTGATCGAAAGTGAGAGTAAAGGCATGCACAATGTACAAAAGATTTCTATTTCAAATAAATGCTGTTATTTGAACTTTCTGTTCATCGAAAAAAATTCACACAAATATTAAGCAGCACAACTGTTTTCAACATTGATCATGTTTCTTGAGCAGCAAATCACGTGACACTGAAAACTGGAGTAATGATGCTGAAAATTCAGCTTTGCATTTACAGAACAGCAAAAGCATTTAAAAAAAAATCTTACCGACCCCAAACTTTTGACAGGTACAATGTCCAGCAAACTGTACTATTACTCTCTTTTGCTTCTTTTTGTTTCTCTCGGCTCTACTTCAACATCATCTGTTTTACTTAACTTAATCGAATTCCTTTACTTCAGTCTGATATTCTAATCATCTCATTTTCACAGTGATGTAACTGAATTATCCAAGCCCAGTGCTGGCTCAGTGTTTCTCTTTTTCTCTTTGTCTTGTTCATTTTTAATCGTTAATGCTCTGGTGTTATTCCACTGTAAAGGGCTATTTGTTTTAAAAAAATGTTGTGCTTCATTTTTTGATCAGGGCCTTGTACTAATTGAGGCAAGCATGGCATTCCTGCAGTTTAGGACTCTCTGGGATAGGAATATTCCAGAAGTAGCACACTTCTCTGAGAACCATAGAACTTCACTGCATAAAATAGATGTCAAGCACATTCTATTCTTTGCAATTCAAGAAGTAACATAACCCTGTGAATGTGTGTGATTGTGTATTTGTCTCCCTGTTTATGGCCAAAGGCACTCAAATGAAGAAAACAAAATGTTGGGAAGAGTTTTTATTACATACTCTTAAAAATATAGGCTTCAAAATGGGGTTTTCGCAGCAATGCCATAGAAGAACCGTTTCCCCCAAAAAACTTCCAATGTACAGTTCTTAAAAGAACTGGTTTTTCCTTAGTGTGAAGTATAAGAATAACTTTTTCCACTATAAATAATCTTTTTGTGCAATATTTAATGTTGTTCTTAAAAGTAATGGTTCTTTATTGGCGTCTATGATTCCATGTAGAACCTTACTATAACTATATACTTTTAAAAATAAAGGTTTTTTATTGGCATTGATGTTTCCCTGAAGAACCATTAACATCCATGGAACATTTTCATTCCACAAAAGGTTCTTCTGATTTTTAAAACGTTCTTAACACTAATGGCGCTTTTCCACTGCGTGGTACGACTCGGCTCGGTACGGCTCAGTACGGCATGGCACGGTTTGGCTCGGCATGGTTTGCGTTTCCACTGCAGTTCAGTACCGCTTTAGAGTGGGCGGGATTATTCACATGTCGTTATAGTTGCGCCGCCTCTGCTGCCGCGACTCCTAAAAAAAACATTTTCATTCCGCATCCCCCCATCAAGCTCTCGCTGGATCTGCTCCTCTGCTATCAACGAGAGGAACGTCTGTTCTTCCGCAACAGACAACAAAACTTTTTGGTTGTTAAAAAAAGGTGCGCACGTTCAAAACAGTTGCGTTCGATCCTTCGCTGGCTGTGCTGATTTAAATCTAGCGATTCTTTTGTGTTTGTGTGGAAAGTTCAGTAGTGACGATTCTCTCCGGCCAATCCGTGATCAGCAGAGTTTACACGTCACGTTTTGGTAACGGTACGGTTCACTTGGAACCCCAACCGAAGTGGCACTAAAAAAAGTACCAGGTACCAGGTACCAGGTACTGTAACCAGTGGAAAACCCCCAAAAAGTGAACCGTACTGAGCCGTACCGTGCCGTACTATGCAGTGGAAAAGTGCCATAAGAGAAAATGGTTCTTTTAGGAACTGTTCAACGAACGGTTCTGTTGGGAACCAAAAATGTTTTGTTCTTTGGCATCGCTGTGAAAATTCCATTTATTTTTAAGATTGTAGTTGGACCTTTATTTTTAAGAACAGTATTAAATATTGTTCTTGGGGCTCCAAAAGAAATATCAGTTGCTTGATTGCACATCAAAATTGTCCATACGTTTAAAAGTAAAATATTAAGAAAGTTGACCTTTCTGAAAGCCAGTGCATAATTCATACGCTTCATTTGTGTCTAAGCTGGTGGTCACCGTGAGTTTGACAAACACTGAACAGGCCTGCTATTTAAATAGACCACAGCAAATACCAGAGATGACTTTATGAAGATATCACCAAGACACAGAATGCAATGCGTCACTTGTGGATTTATAGTATATTACTTTACTCTTTTATGGTCAAGTGGAGTGAATGAACAGAGCGGTGCCCAATCAGTACGAACTACCACTTCCTGCCTTTCCTCACCCATCATCATACGCTGCCCCTCGTTTAATAGTGACTCTGGGAGTGATAAAGCTGAGAACTGTAGTTTTCTTGTCTGAAACTTTAGGGCCGACCCAAGTGATGTAACGTATATTACCTGCAGACCCAGTGCAGGGAACGGTGAACTGTCTCTTCCAATAACACTTCCTCTGCTAAACGGTCTCGAGCGATAAACATGAAGTATTTACCATTAGATACGACTCAAGAGGTTCACAACCGGAACAATTGGTCTGGAGAGGTTTGGCGGAGACTGTTAACTGAATTTCTGCCATGCAAAACATGCCTTTTAAAAATTAACCTTGATGTGCATTTCCTGAAGTTTTTAGTCTTTGGTTGTACTGTATGTAAAGAAAGTACAGAAAACGTTTTCAGCTTACTTTTTAAATGCAAAAAGACCAATCGCAATTCGGTATGCAAATGATTTAATTAGATTTTCACATTTTTCATTAAAAAAAAACAATAAATACCACAGTTTGATGAATGGACTTTAAATGCAAATGCGGTTTGTGCTGTATTAATGAAAGAAGAGACAATTATTTACAAAATACATTTATATTTATATTTCTTATCTGTTATTTAATATTTTTTTTATCCCTATAAGACTCACTTGCTACACATACTGGCATGCTTTAGTCTCTTAAAACGGGGGATTTTCCTACTGTTCATTTCATAAATGTCATGTCCTATATCCGTCTTAATGGTGGCAGTTTCCTTTTATATGAGACAGATAACAGATCTCTCTGATTTAGGGCTTTTGGGACACTGTCCTGCCTCTATTCGGCTACAAAGGAGTTCATTCTAGAAGGTTCGCAGTGACCTCATACTGCTGATCTGAAAAAGAGAGTATTCATTCTCCCACGGGAGTCACAAAGGAGGAGATTGAAAGAGATGCAGACACAGATGAGAGGAAGGAGAGAAGATGGAGGGCTTGTCATATTTTGGACTAGATGGGGGGGAATGTAGATATTAAGCAAATGCCCTTAAGGGTTTTTTAGGGAAATACCGGCCATGAACGTGTGTGTGTATCAAAAAGACAGTCTGGCATATTTTCATAATATGTACAGTATGCCATGTAATAAACTTAATCTATTCAAATGCCGCTGCATCAGCCACTTCCAATTACAGCATGCTTGTATTATGCACCAACATCTTTGGCATTATTGCATTTTTATTAAACTCTATTATAAATTCTGTTAATTTATTAGATATTAAATGATGTTTGGGTGAGCCACCTGTCACTGTACATTCTAAATTATGTTTATGTTGCTTAGAAACACAAAACAGCATTCATTAGGCTAATGAACTGTATTACCAAGGATTGCTGTAGTGAATACTTTAAATTTAATTGCATTAAAATAAATATTATTATAATTGGATTCATTTTTAATAATTTAATAAAATAAAATTTTTTGCATCTATTATGATAAAATAATAATTGTTATATGATTTTTTTTTTTACATAATAATTCTAGCATCTTCTACATATTTGAACCATTTCTAACAGGGACTGTATGATTTTGAGATCCATCTTGCATTTTCGCATTCATTACAATGCAGAAATGACACATTTAAGATGCCCTTTAATGGTTTTAGATGTTATTAGTGATGCTATTAAGCATCAGCACATCGACCACAATATCATAGAGAGAGCAACCACTTAAAAACCGCCTAACAATTATGATAAGTTCTTAGGCCTACTTCAATGTTAAATTTCGCAAGAACACGTACCACTCTTCTTCTTTAAAAAATTAAAAAATATAGGTATTCTGTGTACTTTTGTCTTCTTTCCATTCATGTGTGTGTCCAATGTATGTGTTTGCACATTTGCTAAATTTTATAGTTCCCCACATTGGCATCAATTTCCATAAAAAGATCTCCTCTCTTTTCACCTTTTAACTTGATTTTTTGCTGATGGATAAGCATCACACACAGGCCGGGTGTCATTTTGATCTATTAATCAGGGTGTGTTAAGAGATCCGCCCTTTTTATCCCAGAGCTGGAGGATGAGAGGAGGGACGGGGATAAAAGGATAGAGAAAGAGCTATGGTTCTGTTTGGGTCACATGATCAGATGTTGTGGCGATAGCAGCTGGCCCCTTCGATCTTAACACACACTCGCTCCTTGCCCTGGCACACATCTTGCTCTCACTGCATCTCTAGTGTGTGTGTGTGTGTGTGTGTGGGTGTGTGAGGGTGTGTGAGTGTGACAGCTGTCTGCTGCAGGACATTGTCTCACTGTGACTTACCATGTCACTCTGCTGTTGCTTTTTTTACAGGGATTATGGATCCAAACGCAAGTCAGGTAAGACAGATTTTTATTTACCTCCCATGTGATTGTTAAACCTGTTGCCGGCTTTAAGTACTAACTCAAGCCCGCTCACTAACTCTGCATGCCCTCTCTGTGTTTGCGGCATTGAATGACTTGCTGTTTTGCGCTCAGCTCAGGGTTTCAGCTGAGTTTCTTTAGAGAATTGCACATGACTCAGAGGTTTTTAGAGCTCTGGGAGTGTCAGCTGTAAAAGGTTTGGGAATAACTGGCTGGACTTTGGAGGAAAGCCACATGAAAGTATGTGCATTTGTACTTCACGCTTCAAGCCAAGTCGTCCGGCTGAAGGCACAGAAAAAATATGGAACCACCTTGTTGGCATATTTTATTTTATTTTATTTTTCAGGCTGTTATTATAATGTTGAGGCACAGAGACTTGATTTATGGCAAGGATTAGACCAAGTTTCCTTTGCATAGCATGCTAGGGTGTGTGTTTTGTGAGTGAACAGCCGTTCTGCAGTTGGGACTTACTCAGAGATGCACACACACACACACACACACACACACACACACACTGTTGAACACTAATGTAATTTGGATTGGAGTGAGCATTGGAGTTCTTGTCATCTCTCCCACACACATCCCTTAGGAATATTTTCTGTTTTTGATCTGTTTGCTTTCCACTTGTAAACACACATTCATTTGCTCCGACAATTTTTGAAAATGTAGTAACATTTGGATTTAGTTTTTGGTTCCAAATATGCAATATAGATGTAATCAGAAGTTTGAGTGATGTATTAAATAATTCCAGATGTTCTATTTCCTGTTTGCATTTATTTATAACTTTATTTTCAACAAAATATTTAAAAAAGTTATTTTAAGGTGCAACCCTCAATCCTGTGGTTTTTACTAAATAAACCTGCCAGCATGGTTGCCAGAAGAATTCTGTAATCTAAAAATACAGTAAAAATGTAACGGAGGAACCTGTACATTTGACATTTTAATTGTTATTTAATTTTCAAAAATGAATGAACAAATAAACAAACCAGTAGATCCGACAGATTTCTTTCTGCTAAATTAGCATAACCACTCTGATCCTTTAATCTATACTGACAACCAGCATAATAAACAGAAAGTTTGCTTTTCAACAAGCTGAAGTGAATACGAATATGCACAGTGTCATGCACAAATAAAAAACAACATCATAGTAACACACATGGCATTAAAATATTTACTATAAACATTTATTTAACAACATATAGTGTAACATGTGCGAACAAACTAAGAAGAACTATTTATTTAAATGAAAACACAAATGTAAAGTGTCACACAGGGAATTATGGGAATGCCAATTTTTTATTATTATTTTTTTTTTTATAAAAACCTTTTAATAATTTGACGACTTGTTTTTTTTCTATCTCCAACAACTTTACATTCGACAGCATTTCACTGTAAAATTACATTAAATGTCACACTAGCTCTATTACAGTTTTTCACTGTAAGGAACCAGTTAACAGGTTTTTACTGTAGCATTTTTGCAGTCGTTTACTATTAAAATCACAGTGAAGAAAGTATCGTCATAGGCTCTGTGTTGCATCACTAAAACAAATGTTTTGTGCCATGGAAGCTAGTACTCATGTGATTGTGATGTTAAGAGCTGAATGTGTTTAGAAGATGAAACACACATGTACAGTCACATGCATGCAGAGTCATTTCTAGTGATTTTTTTGGGGGCAGAATGCAGCTTTCTGGTCTTATACTGTAGTTATTTCAGTACATTTGTGATGAGGCAAAGTGGTAGACAGACAGGTTTAGTTTTATAGATGATGTTGGACCAGAGTGTAAACAGGGACATCATTAAGGTTTGTGAATTTGTGTTAAGCTCATGCTGTCAGGTCAAATATGCAGTAAGATGTGTCACTAAGTATAATTTTGGGGATTTCCATTGACTTCTGTTGTTTTTATAAAGTTTAGGTTTAATGTTATCGGTTCTGTCCAATATCGTTACACTTAATGTCCACACAAACCTTTTTCTTTTCAAGATTTTGATTCAAACATTTATTAAATATATTCTTGTGTATTTTGATTTAGGTTTTATTATCCCTAAGGGAACATTGGATCTGTTTGTTGTAGGCACAACCTGATCCAGACAAACATGCATTAGTGAATGTTATTTTTTTTAGACCAGTAAATAGTTATTCTTAAGAAACAGACAATTGTTTTCCAGTATTTATTAGGTCTGCAGTGTCTATACAAATATTTGTCTGTCCATTCATCATCTGTTTGTCTGTTTGTTCATTCACATTTATTCGCTCTCACAACGTTTGAAAATTGCTAACATTTGGGTTATAATTTGACCAGCAGCTGAGGTCAATTCCAGCTGTTGTCCCCCCCCTCCACCTCTCATTTGACAATAAATCAGGTGGAACCACTTATCATTAGTGTTTTGGATCACTGGAATCATCATCATCCTCTGTTCCATTCTGTTTTTAAGATGACCACTGGATGTGCATCTGTCAGACATCAGTAATCATCTATGTTAGCTAAAAGTGAATAACATCCTGAAGATGTTATCCTAATTACTCAAATATGTATTTTGCAAGATTGGAAATTTGTAATTTATTTTTATGTTTAAAGATCTGAGGTTTCACTTTGTCCCCATCTTTCTGTCAGTCTGAACGTTTGGCTCTATGGTTTCCGTCCTAATTAATTATCTCTGAGGGTTTAGCAAGTGGAAACTGCAGCTGGGAAGTGTCATTCTCAAAAAAACAAACTTGTTCCAGGCGTGGGCTTCGTAGCTCCCCTGGCAGTCCCATCCACCAGAGCTTCCACGATGTTATGAGAAATGTCTTTTTAAAATGGTTTTGAAATCGATGATTTGCATGACAATGTGAAAAAAAAAACATTGTGTTTTCATTACAGATGGGCGTCACTTCCTGTGTCAACAATGACTGATTATAAAAAAACATTATTTCTTAAAAGTTTTTTTTACATCAATTGTAATCCAGTGATATATTTATTTTTTACTGTATATTTATATTATAAATATAAATATTCTTCTGCCACAAAAAAAAAAAAAAAAAGGTAATTGAAACTATTTATCTTACAATTCTGAGTTTACATCTCGCAATTCTGACTTTTTTTTCTTTCTCAGAATTTGCCTGGTATAAACTCACAATTGCGATTTATAAAGTGAGGATCGTGGCATATAAACTCGCAGTTGCAAAGTTACATTGCGACTTACAAAGTACAATTCTGAGGGGAAAAAAATGTCTGTTTTCTTACAATTGCAATTTATATCATCTGAAGAAGAGTTTATAACTTGCAATTGAGTATTTGATTAAAAAATATTGATAAAGTCAGAAATGCGAGTTTATATATAAGTCAGAACTACGAGTTTACAGTATATCACGCAGTTCTGAGAAAAAATGTCAGAATTGCGAGATGTAAACTCACAATTGTGAGAAAAAAAGTTGCAATTACCTTTTTATTCAGTGGCAGAAACTGGCTTCGATAACAATCTGATGCATTAGTGGAGGGGGTTTTACTTTTCAGTGCCACTTTCAATGACTTTGTGGTTTCTGGTTACATCGTTACACCAGTAGGTGGCAAATAGTAACTGTTTTTGAGCAAACTATTCATTCAAACAATTTGTTTAAAACACTAGGCTCGTTTCCATTACAGATTTGCGCAAAGCTTTGGCGATATTTTATAAATGTTGATAAAAAAGTATTGCGAAATTGCGTTTCCATTAACCAATGTTATGCGACTAAACGTAACCTTTTGCCTCTCGCGATAAGTCATGGCAACAGATTTTGGTGGGATTTTGACGGATTTTGGCTATTTTATTCAAAGGAGGCGTATGCCACAATCAGCTTCAGTGGCCGTATCAGAGCCACACTGCACCACAGACGTGTGCAGTGTAAATTGTCTAAGCATTAATGGTAGGGAAAACCCCTTATACTGGAGAGCGGCCACGTATGAAGTGTTTCTTGAAGGTTATAGTACACTGAAGAATAATCATATGAGTTTTTACATACGCCATGTGACCTGTAAATGCAAAAAAAAACGTTTCCATTGCAGTTTTGCGAATTATTCCTTTTTCGTATATTGCCTGAAAATCCACCTCGTGCACGAGTAACAATTTTTTTGCGATATATGGGTGTTTTTGCGAAATTGACGTGTTTCTATTAGGCGTATTTTCAATTCGCAATTTCTATTTGCGCAATTTTAAGAGTAATGGAAATGTGCCTACTGATGCATTCATGAGCGAAACAAGTGACTGTGTTTATGAGTGAGTCATTGAATCATTCACTCAATTGATTTGTTTAAAGACACTGATTCATTCATGAGCAAAACCATTGCTGGAGCAAAAACAAACAAGTAACTGGCAATATTATTTGTAAGTTACTCAATAATAACTTGTTGTTATTAAAGTGCTGTGTAAAATCAATATCACACTCGCAATTGTGTTGTATTTAGGAGTGCCTGCGTGGCTGTGATTCGGCCAAAGGCATGAAACTGCTCATACTCAGTAACAACAGTACATATGTTCATGTTTTATTGCTTAAATAATATTTATCAATGTCTTTTGTTATACATAATCATTTGCATATAGTCGGATCTGTATTCACAATATAGCATGGGCTCTCATAATGTACCTCATTGATTAAGTAGTGACAAACTGCTAACAGCTTTATGAAAGGAAGTGCGAGTACAGCATACCTTCTCCTTGCAATGGAAATAGGGCCAGTATAATCAAACTGAAATTATGTGTATCATGAGACAAACTTTGATATTGCCATAGAGACTCACAAACTAAAGAAGAGTTTCCTTGTAGGCTTAGGTAAACAGTTTAGAGAAAAAGGTCACAAGTAGACTTTCATAGCTTTGTGGTGGCAGGAAGACAGGGGTCTTGTTTCCCTCTGAGGTGGCCCTTAACAGTATATGATTACAATATAATCACTCACACAGAGCATAATTCAATAGCATTATGCTATAGCTGTGGGACTTTACACAAATAAACGGCAAAGCCC